ACATTTTTGGTTGTCATGATTGGCCATGCCCCTGGCATGTAGTGGGTAGAAGCAAGGATGCCGCTGCTAAGCTATGGTACCCAGGACAGTCCACCCCGGAGTCATCCCACCCAAAATGTCAGCAGTGCCACGGCTGGGAAGCCCTGCTAACCACACATGGCAGAGAGTGCGGATGCGTCGGTGGGGAGTTTGGGACAAAGAAAGTGACGAGAACAGAGAAGAAGAGGTGGGTAGTTAGGCAGGGGCGGAAGAAAGAGCACAGGACCCGGAACGGCCGGACTGGGTTCCACCCAGCAGCCATGTGACCTGGGGCAAGTCTCCTAGTACCCTAAGCCTGTTTCCTTGTTTATAAACAAGACCTCAAGGGCAGACCCAGAAGATAACCGTGGAAGACACAAACCCTGGGCCTTGACACCCTGTAGAGGCTCAATGATGGAGGCTCAGGTGTGGGAGAGACGATGACGCTGCAGTTCGCTCCCCCGGAGAGCTAACATGATCTGATTCTCAGAATTCCAGAGAAGCCCTGGGAATCATTTCTTTTTTTTCTTTCTCCAGACCCCAGGAGCCCAGGCTGGGCAGCGGCGGAGGGCGGGCAGGAGGGGATGGGGGATGGGCAGGCTGGGTACTCACCACTGTGGCTCTCCCCATCACTGCTGAGATAGGGGTAATACTCATGCGTTTGGCGTGGGTACAGATCCGTGTCGTAGGGCACCAGGTCTTCTGATGGCTGCTGAGAGAGGAGGCGTCAGGGCCTGCACCATGGTAGGGGACCCCAGCCAGGCCTGAAGCACCCCAGCACACTGGGTCCCCACCACCTTCTCTGGCTCAGTGGCTGCATTGGGCCTACAGCCCTCCCTCTGCCTGAAATTGGGACAGAGGGTGGGGCAGGGGACCCGGGAGGCCTGAAAAGGATGACAGGGACCTTGGGGGCCAGAGGTCAGGAGGACTGGGGTCTTCCCCCTCTGGGCTACTCCACATAGCCCCCTCCCGCTCACACACTCACTCCCGTGTGTCCTCATCCTCATCCCATACAGCTCTCCCGGTCACACTGATGCAGAGGTCCACATGATCCCTGTGACCTCCTGACACAGTCCCACACACAGACTCGCTCTCAGGCTCACACACACTGTCCCGCACACACACATCTTCATGCCCACTCAGAGGTCACCCACCTCACAGAGACATGGTACACTCAGCTCGTGGGCACAAGCAGAGTCGCCTTGACACTCGCACGACACCACGTTCTAGCCAGCAACACGCACACTCACACCCCCAGAGCCACTCACATTCTGCCCCCACACTCACCCGCACACACTTGCCTGCCCAGCCCTGCTCTTACATCCTGTGCCCCTCACACAGCCTGGGCAGGAGCGGCGCCACAGTGACATCCACACTGGTGGCTGGGGCAGGAGTCACCCAGGCAGGCTTGGGGGCCGAGCGCATGGAGGGCCTTGATCCCCTCGGTCTCCCTCCTGAGTCCTCCCTATCCTCCTCCTTCCCTCCTCACCCACCCCTCTGCTTCTTCTGCTTCCTTCTCCCCCCTCCTCACTCCCCTCTGTCCTCCTTTTCCTCCCCCTCCTCCCTGTCCTCCTTCTTTCCTCCTCCTCTTCCCCCCCCCCCCCCCCCCCCCCCCGTCCTCCTCCCCCCCGCTGGCACAGACACAGGGCCGTGCACACCCGGAGCCTTCCCAACAGTCATCAGGCCTCCCCGCCCCCGCAGCGTGTGCCCTGGGATTGCACAACAGTCACTGTGGCCCTCAGGGCTGGGCTTAGGGAGCCGGGGCTGCCTTGGGAGCCCACCCTACCAAGAGACACTCAGAGTAACCCTGGAGCTGCAGAGAGGGCTGGGGAACCTAGGGGCGGCCCAGGAAGCTCTGCCTCCCTTCCAGCTCCACCTGGAGCTCAGCATTGAGAGGTCAGGGGTCAGAGACAGTGGGCCTGCGGCTTTCTTGAGGCAGAATTGGGTCTTCCTGAGACAACCTCCATCCCCCTGTGCCTGTGCCACCCCCTTTGTGGTCCCAGGTGGGAAGGGGTAACAGGGTGTGGACGCCACAGTGGGCTGGCTGGCCGAGTGAGGTGGCCGGGAGCCCAGGACAGAGCCTGCCCCTCTGGGTTTCCAGGCAGCGCAGCCTCTGCAGGATGTCAGGCCGGCTCTGGTCTGGTCGGTGTGATGTCAGACTTGGGGTGCCTCCCAGCCTCCTGGGGTGGCTCTGAGCCAGCGCACAGTGGGGGAGGGGAGCTGCCTGTAGGCCAGGGAAATGGAGTCGGGGTAGCCTGCCAAGCCCTTCCTGGCTCCCCTCAACCCTCCCCAACCCTGAGAGGACATGGGGTAGGAAAAGGGAGAAGGGTCCTCTCAGAGGGACCCTGGTCTGACACCTGCCTCAGGCTGCAACTGTCACTGAGAGTGAGGAGCAGTGGCGATCTTCTCGGGGTCCCCTGGGGCTCCCGCTACTTCACCCCCAAGACCCAGTCCCTGTCCTTGTCCCAGCCTCAGCCCCCATTCTAACTGTAATCCCATGCTCACCCTAGGTCCTACCCAGCCCCAATCTCAGTCCCGGCCCTGTCCCAGCCCCATCCCCTGCCATGCCTCTCCCTGAACTCCAGCCCTGGGGCCGACCCTAACTGTACCATCTCAGCTCCACTCCAGGCTCCTTCCTAGCACCAGCCCCTGCCTCCTGTGGCCCCGCCATGGCCCATGGCCCAGACCCTTCGGTCAACAATCATATCCTCTGTGCCAGGCCCCAGACCAGGCACTGGGGACAAGAGTTCCATCAGCCTTGGTCGCCAGGAGCCCCAAGGCCATGGCCAAGCCTTCTGCCTGCTGCCTTCTGCCTTCACCCCTTCCTGTCCAGGGGACCAGCCTCCCCATAGCCAGTGTCCCCATCTCCCTCCTCTGCCGCCCTCACCATCCTCAGCCCAGCACCCTCCCCAGGATCCCCGGCCTCCGCCTGCCACCCAAGCCCTGCCTATAAATAACTGTTCAGGCCCCACCGATCACAGCCCCACCGTGGCCCGGCCTCAGCCCGCCAGGGTATGCTCCGAGGAAGCCAATGGCCCCTTCGCTGGGTCTCAGGCCAGGAGCTCCAGGGAGGAAACCCTGACTTCCCACAGATAGCAAGCCAGGAGGGCAGCGGGTGGGCTGGCAGGTTCATGGGCAGGCAGGCAGGCGTCCGAGGGCCACGGGCTGGGCTGGTAGAGGAGTCCCGGTACTCACAGGGGGGACGAGGGGAAACCCTTCCATTTTGCACGCCTGTAACATCCAGCCGGGCTCCGAGTCAGTCAGATCCCCTGCCTCGGTGGGGGCCAGTGCAGAGCCCCTCAGGATGGGGTGCCCCGTCGGGGGCTGGACGGCCGTGGGGCGGGTGCAGGGCTCAGGCCTGCCCCCTGAGCTACAGGAGCCCTGGGTGAGCCCCCTCCCTTGACATTGCAGGGCCAGCACAAGTTCCTGATTTTATCGACGGCCTGCCGCTGGGAGATAGTCCCCTTGGGGTGACATCACCGCCCCAACCCGTTTGCATAAATCTCTTGCGCTACATACAGGAAGTCTCTGGCCGGCTGGGGCAGGTGGTGCTCTAAGGGCTGGCCGGGGAGGCCATAGGGTCCAGGCCCCCTGCCCAGAGGAAGCTGGGACTGAGAGGGATGACTTTGGAGGCTAGGCTGGGGAGGGAGGATGGGAGGGAGAACGGGCAGCTCCGCCACACCACTGGGAGGCTTTTGCTCTAATCCAACAAATGCGTGCTTCTCCTGAGATCCCTACATAGCCAACAGTCACCTCGTTGGGGTCAGAGCTGGAAGGGGTGGTCTCTTGGGACCTCCAGTTTCTGGGGTCAGCCATGCTGGGTGAGGGCTCTGACCCAGCAGGCTATTAGGCCTGGCTCTTCCTTGGCCCTGCACCCCCACTGCCTAGGCTGTCCCTAGGCTGAGGCTGGGCTCCGGGCTAGGGTCTCCAGCTAGTGCGGCTTTCCTACTTCCCTCTGAGTCTGTTCACATGGGCTTCCCTTCCACCAGAAGAGGGTCCTGGGTTCTCACACCCTCCCTTCCCAGCTTCTTGTGTACCACAGCTGTGTTCAAATCCCTAGGGCTCTGTTTCCAGCCCGGGCGGGTTTCTCAGTTTCCCCACCCCTTGCCGATGCCTAAATATCAATCTCATCTTCTTAGTTTACAGACCTTTCTTTTCTATCCACCCCTTCATCTGTTTTCCCATGCATCTATCTGTCTATTTGTCCATCCAGCTATCCATTCATTAAGCCCACCATGCATTCACTTACTTGTCCATTTATCCAACTGTCTTTTATTTGTTCATTCATTTGTCAGTCAGTCAATTCATCCACTCACCCATCTGTTTCTCTACTTGTCTATCTAGTCATCTGTATGTCCATTAATCAGCCCGTCCACCCGCTATCAATCCATCAGTTCACAATTCCATCTGTTTATCCATCTATGAATCTGCTCTTCCATTCATCCACCTATCCAACCATCCACTCATCCACCCATCTATCCATCCACTCATCTGTCAACCCATCCATTATCCACCTACCTCTTTATTCATCCACCCATCCACCAATCCACCCACCTACCCTTCCATCCATCTATTCATCCACTCATCCATTCATCCACCTATCCACCCATCTATTTATTCACTTATCTACCTATCCACCAATCCAGCTATCTCCCCATTCACCCATCCACTCTTCCACCTACCCGTCCATCCACTCATTCACCCATCCAGCCATCCACCAATCCACCCATAATCTTATCTACCCATCCACTTATCCACTATTCATCCTTCCACTCATCCATCCATCCACCTATCCATCCATCCATCCATCCACCCACCTATTCATCCATCCATCCATCCATCCATCCACTCATCCACACATCTACCCATTTACTCATCTACCTATCCACCATTCCAGCCATCTACCCATTCACCCATCCACTCATCCACCTATCCATCCACTCATCCACCCATCCAACCATCCACCAATCCACCCATCCACTTACCTAACCAACCATCTATCCATTCATCCACTCCTTCATCTATCTGACTATTCACTCATCCATCCACCCATGCATCTTCCCAATGTTGAGTTCCAGGCTCTAATCTGAGCACTAGGAAAACAAAAAAGTATTGTATAAGACCCCTGCCTTCAGAGAGCTCCTGATCTTTTCTGGAGGGTGGAGGGATGAGTAGAGGCACTTTTTGTCCCAGTGATCTCTGGTGAGTCCCCTCTGCTGGGAAGGAACTTTTGAGCATTCAGTGTCCTCCCCAGTATAATCTAACCCCTTGATTTATGTTCCCACTCTACTAAGACAGGCCTGCATCTTTGCCAGTGGATTCCCAGGCCTCACATGTTTTTTCATTAGCAGCAAACACCAGAATTTCACAGCCCTGGGCTCACCATTAGATCTAATTTGACTTCCACCTTCACTGACCTTTTCTGTCTGCACTTGCAACTCTCCAAACGTTCCAGGCCACAGGTCTTCAGGGCTCCCTAGGAATCTGGCCAAGGCCTCTACCCAAAAGGAGGGGAGAGGGGCTGGCTTGGCATCAGTTCCATCCTGTCTCCCACTTCCCCATCAAGAAGGCCAAGCCCCAGCTAACTGGATGCAGCGGGGTGTAGGGTTATCCACTCCGCAAGATCGAGGCCCTGCTTGATGTGTTCATTCATTCATTCATTCCTGTGTGTGTTATTTCCTTGCTTTGGTTTGTTTATCTGTTTATTCATTCATTCATTTCATCACTTTTTTGCATACATTTAAGGGGTACACGTGCAGTTTTGTTCTGTGGATATATTGCATAATGGTGAAGTCTGGCCTTTTAGTTTATCACCACCTTAATAACATACATTTTACCCTTGAAGTAATTTCCCATCTTTCACCGTGGCTCCCACTCTCCCACCTTCCGGGTCTCCAGCGTCTGTCATTCCACCATGTGTGCACATTATTTAGCTCCTACTTATAAATGAGAACGGGCAGTGTTTGTTTCTGAGTTGTTTCACTTATGACAATGGCCTCCAATTCCATCCATGTTGCTGCAAAGACATAATTTCCTTCTTTTTGATGGCTGAATAGTATTTCATTATATATCTATGATATAACATCTTATTTATTCAGTCATCTGTTGATGGACACTTAGGTTGATTTGGTAGCTTTGCCATTGTGAATAGTTCTGTGATATACAAGTGCAGGTATCTTTTTGATACAGTTATTCCTGCGATTAGATACTCCATAGTGGGACTGCTGGATCAAATGATAGTTCTTTTTCTTTCTTCTTTTCTCTTTTTTTTGAGACTGAGTTTTGCAGTTGTTGCCCAGGCTGGAGTGCAGTGGTGCCATCTCAGCTCACTCTGCCTCCCAGGTTCAAGCGATTCTTCTGCCTCAGCCTCCCAAATAGCTGGGATTACAGGTGGCTGCCACCACATCCAGCTAATTACTGTATTTTTAGTAGAGACAGGGTTTCACCATGTTGGCCGAGCTGGCCTCGAACTCCTTACCTTAGGTGATCCACCCACCTCAGTTTCCCAAAGTGCTAGGATTACAGACGTGAACCACCTCACCCAGCCAGTTATTTTTCTTTTGAGACAGAATGTCGCTCTATCACCAAGGATGGAGTACAGTGGCGTGATCTTACTGCAGCCGGGACCTCCCAGGCTCAAGCGATCCTCCCACCTCAGCCTCCTGAATATCTAGGACTACGGATGTGTGCCTCCTATAGTCCCAGCTAATTTTCTGTATTTTTTGTACAGATAGGGTTTCACCATGTTGTCCAGGCTGGTCTTGAACTCCTGGGCTCAAGCAATCCGCCTGCCTCAGCCTCCCCAAATGTTGGGATTGTAGGTGTGAGCCACAGCACCTGACCAAATGGTAGTTTTGTTTACTTCTTTGAGAAATATCCATACTCTTTTCCATAGAGGTTGTCATTTAATCACTCACTTTTTATTGAGTGTCTTCCGTGGTCTGGGTCTAGTAAGGGGGCAGACATGAATGAGGCATGCTCAGAGCCTCCAGCAGCTTACAGGCCCGCAGAGGGTCACGTGAGTGGGGCAAGAGAGGAGGTGCCAGGTAGGTTTGGTCTCAAAGGTGCATTTGGGAACAACTGATTGGGTCAGGCTCCCAGATAGGATGGCGGGACGCGTGCAGAGGGAAGGTATGTCTGGCTGAGAATCAACTTAAGCAAAGGAAAAGAACAGGAAAACAGGGAGCCACCATCCTTGCAGCTGGAAGCAAAGCAGCACAGGAAGTCAAAGAGCCTTGAGTGCCAAGCCAGGGAGCCTGAGTCGTGTACAGGAATGGCTATGGAGCCTTTGCTGGTTGTAAGCAGGGAGTACAGGGCTATCCTTGCGGGTGCAGCCAAGAAACCAGGTGGGCTGTATGCTCCCGAGGCCTAAGATTCAAGGGGCTCCAGGAGAAGGAAGATTTCCCATTGTCTCAGATACGACCAAGTCCAAGGATCCTGGATGAGGACGTCCACAAAAGACATCTAGGGCTTGACCGGGCGTGGTAATCCCAGCACTTTGGGAGGCCAAGGCCGGTGGATCACCTGAGGTCGGGAGTTCAAGACCAGGCTGACCAACATGGAGAAACCCAGTTTCTACTAAAATTACAAAATAGTGGCACATGCCTGTAATCCCAGCTACTAGGGAGACTGAGGCAGGAGAATTGCTTGAACCTGAGAGGCAGAGGTTGTGGTGAGCCGAGAATGAACCATTGCACTCCAACCTGGGCAAGAGAGGGAAACTCTGTCTCAAAAAAAAAAAAAAAAAAAAACCCAGGGCCAATAACCTCTGGAAATAGGAGGAATGCCCTCTGCCTTCTGAGCAATGCTAGAGTGTTCTCCCAAATCCTCTTCCCACTCCTCCACCTCCCAAAGTGCACCAGAAACCTCATCCCCTTACATCCCCAGGACTCATGGTAATTCAAATTCTTGAGAATAGTAGGACCCAGATTCTAAGAACAGGAAGGGTTTGGGTAATACACAACCTCATGGTTAGTAGTTCCTTAAAAAGGAAAAGGAAAAAAATTTTTGAGTGCCTGGCACCATACTGGGTGCTTCCACCCTGTGATCTAACATCACCAAGACAGCCATCTGTTGAACTGAGGCCCAAGAGACCAGTGACTGGCCCAGGATCACACAGCGTGTGTGGGTAGAGAGCTGGGACGTGATTCCTGGCTTGTGGAGCTCTAGGAAGGGCTGGGTCTACTGCGGAGGAAAGGAAGCTAGAGGAAGAAGAGAGAGAGACTGAGAAGCTGAGGCTGGAGTGGAGAGGAAGGGGAGGGAGAAGAGAGAAAGGGAAAGAGAAACAAAATAGCAAGATCAAAGGAGGGAGCAGAGAGAAGGAAGAAACAGGAGGAGAGGTGAAGAGGCAGCAAGAACCTCAGGCAAAAAAGGAGAGCAGTCTGGGCGAGGTGACTCATGCCTGACAGATCCCAGCACTTTGGCAGGCCGAGGTGGGCAGATCACGAGGTTAAGAGATGGAGACCATTCAGGCCAACATGGTAAAACCCCAACTCTACTAAAAATACCAAAATTAGCTGGGCATGGTGGTGCATGCCTGTAGTCCCAGCTACTCAGGAGGCTGAGGCAGGAGAATCACTTGAACCCAGAAGGCAGAGGCTGCAGTGAGCCGAGATCCCATCATTTTTGCACTCCAGCCTGGCAACAGAGGAGTGAGACTCCGTCTCAAAAAAAAAAAAAAAAAAAAGAGGAGAGCAGGGTGAGGGTGCCGGAGGAGGAGGACATAGGAGGGACAATGAGGAGGTTTGGGGGAAACAGGGACAGTGGCTGGTTGGAGGCCATGGGACCCCAAAGGAGCTCATTCCCAGCCTCTTCCTTCCTCAGAGAAGCAAAAGAGTGGCAGAGAAGGTCCCCGACTTGCAGGAGGCCAGTAGGTGCATCACGCTGGAATGTGGCTTCATTTCATTCTGGTCAGCAGGAAATTGGTTTGAAACCAAAAATCTTGGAAGCTCTAGAGACTGAAAAAAAAATCATTTTTAATTATTTGATTTTTTTGAATAGATAACACGTGCACATGGTACAAAAATTCAAAAGGTACAAAAAGGTAACTGCCCAGTTCCCCTTCCAGACTACCTGATTCTTGTGTGTCTGTCTAGAAATCATCTAGACAGCCTGTAGCAGATATATTTGTTGTTTTGAGACAGATCTCCGTCTGTCACCCAGGCTGGAGTACAGTGGCATAATCTCGGCTCACTGCAACCTCCACCTCCTAGGTTCAAGTGATTTTCCTGCCTCCGCTTCCCAAGTAGCTGGGACCACAGGCACACGCCACCACGCCCAGCTAATTTGTTTTATAATTTATTTTTAATAGAGACAGCGTTTCACCATGTTGGCCAGGATGGTCTTGAACTCTTGACCTTGTGATCTGCCTGCCTAAACCTCCCAAAGTGCTGGGATTACAGGCATAAGCTATTGAGCGCAGCCAGCAGATATAATTTTTTTAAATGTTACACAGAGGGGAGCACACTAAATATATTGTAGTCCCCTTGCTTTTTCCCCTGTATCCGTGCCACACCCACACAGAGCTGTCTTGTTCTTTTTTGTTTTTTGCATTTTTAGTTTTTATGGGTACATAGTAGGTGTGTTTATTTATGGGGTACATGAGATATTTTGAGACAGGCATAAAATGGGTAATAATCACATCGGTAAATGGGGTATCCACCACCTCAAGCATTTATCATTTCCTTATGTTACCAACATTCCGATTATACTCTTTGAGTTACTTTTAAATATGCTATAAATTATTGTTGACTGCGGTGTCTTTCTTGTTTGTTTGTTTGTTTTGGTACCATGACTCGGATCCGAAGACTGTAGTGTCTTTTTAATGGCCATACAGTACTCCACTATTTGGTTGTACATGATATTTTTAAGTCATGAGAGACACTGTTCACTTAGAAGAGTGAATACAATATTTATGTGCAGTTTAAAGAGTAATTGTAAAACTGGCATCTATGTAACCACCATCCAGGTCAAGAAATAAAACCTTGCCAGCACCCCAGAAGAATTCCCAAACGTCCCTTACTTCCCTCTAGAAGTAACTCCATCCTAACTTTTTCAGTAATTTTGTACTTGCTTTTCTTTATAAGTATCCCTTATAGTTTAGCTTTTGCCTTAACAGGTTTTAATCTTTATAGGAAAAGAATCATAGCGTAAATATTCTTTTGGGTCTTTCTTCTTTTTCCCACCATATGATTGCATGTCGCTATGGTCCATTTTCATTGCTGGATAGTATTCCAGTGTTATTTATTTACTTATTTTTTGAGATGGACTCTCACTCTGTCATCCAGGCTGGAGTGCAGTGATGTGATCTCAGCTCACTGCAACCTCTGCCTCCTGGGTTCAAGCAATTCTCCTGCCTCAGCCTCTCGAATAGCTGGGATTACAGGCATGTGCCACCACGCCCAGCTAATTTTTGTATTTTTGGTAGAGACAGGGTTTCTCCATGTTGGCCAGGCTGGTCTCAAACTCCTGCTCTCAGGTGATCTGCCTAACTTGGCCTCCCGAAGTGCTGGGATTACAGGTGTGAGCCACCATGCCCCACATTCCACTGTTATTTAACCAGTCTCTTAGCAGTATATATATATTTGAAACAGGGTCTTGCTGTGTCACCCAGCTGGAGTGCAGTGGTTCTATTATGACCTCCTGGGCTCAAGGAATCCTCCCGCCTCAGCACCCCCCAAGTATCTTTAACCACTTATTGATGGACACTTGAGTTGTTTCTGGTCTTTTCTATTACAAATAATGCAGCAATCAATAACATATGCTAATTTACATATATGCAGGAGGATGTCTAGGAGAGATTTCCAAGAGTTGAATTGCCAGGTCAAAGGGCAGTACATTTTTCATTTTTATTTATGTATGTATATTTTATTTTATTTTACTGAGATGGAGTCTTTCTCTGTCACCCCAGCTGGAGTGCAGTGGCACAATCTCGGCTCACTGCAGCTTCTACCTTCTGAGTTCCAATGATTCTCCTGCCTCAGCCTCCCAAGTAGCTCGGATTACGGGTGCACACCACCATGCCTGGCTATTTTTTTGTATTTTTAGTAGAGACAGGGTTTTTGCCATCTTGTCCAGGCTGGTCTCAAACTCCTGGGCTCAAGCGATCCATTCACCGTGGCTTCCCAAAGTGCTGGGATTACAGGTGTGAGCCACCACAGCTGACCTGTATTTATTTTTTAGAGATGGAGTCTTGCTCTGCTGCCCAGGGTGGTCTTGAACTCCTGCCCTCAAGCCATCCTCCTGCCTTGGCCTCCCAAAGTGCTGAGATTACATGTGTGAGCCACTGTGCCTGGTGTGCATTGTTAATTTTGAGACAGATGATAGGAAGACAAGGCAGGTGCAGGGGCTCATGCCAATAATCCCAACACTTCGAGAGGCTAAGGTGGGAAGATCACTTAAGCCCCGGAGTTCGAGACCAGCCTGGGCAACAAGGGGAAACCCTATCTCTACAAAAAAATTCAAAATTAGCTTGGTGTGGTGGTGGTGTTGTGTGTGCTACTCAGGTGCCCAGCTACTCAGGAGGCTGAAATGGGAGTTTTGGTTGAGCCCTGGAGGACGAGGCTGCAGTGAACCGTGATCACGCCACTGCACTCCAGCCTGGGTGACAGAACAAGACCCTGTCTTCAAAAAAATAATAATAACAAGACAGAAAACAGATATTGTCACATTGCCCTTAATAAAACTTGTACCAGCTGGGCATAGTGGCTCATGCCTGGCTCATGCTTTAGCACTTTGGGAGGCCGAGACGAGCGGATCTCCTGAGGTCAGAAATTTGAGACCAGCCTGGCCAACATGGTGAAACTCCATCTCTACTAAAAATACAAAAAATAGCTGGATGTGGTGGTGTGTGCCTGTAGTCCCAGCTACTCGGAGGCCGAGGCAGGAGAATTGCTTGAACCTGGGAGGCAGAGGTTGCAGTGAGCCAAGATCATGCCACTGCACTCCAACCTGGGCGACAAGAGTGAAACTCCATTTCAAAAATAAATAAATAGGCTGGGCGCGATGGCTCACGCCTGTAATCCAACCAGTTTGGAGGCCAAGGCGGGTGGATCACCTGAGGTTGGGAGTTCAAGACCAGCCTGACTAACATGGTGAAACCCCGTCTTTTAAAAAAATTAATTAATTAACTAATTAAAAATACTAAAAGTTGTTCCTACTGATTCTCCCACCAGCCCTGCTAGACAGTGCAGCTTCCCAGCCTGCCAGACAAGTGGGAGACCCTGTAGGACTGGACCCTGCAGAGTGACAGGGAGGCTGGGCAGGCCTGGTGTGGTGTGGTCCTTTGCCCCTGCTGGCTGGGTTACTGATAGGGGCAGGCTGGATGCTAATGCAATTGCAAGGCAGGCAGGCAACAGGAAACCTGAGCGGGTGTCCTCGAAGTTGAGTCCACAGAGGGGAGCACGACCCCTGACCTCGTAGATCCCTCAGCCTTGGCCCAAACGAGCTAGAAAATGAGGAAATGCCCCCCACCCACTTTCCTAGCAACCTGTCCCCACAGGGAGTGACAGGGCATGTGAGAACACACAGGCCTCGGACCAAGCTGGGAAAGTTGACCAAAAAGCGCTGAGCCTGTGGACAGAAATGGCAGTCTTGCAACTTCCTCTCACGGTTGAGACACTGGAGGAGGCTCCTCGGGCCCCTCGGAGCTCCCCAAGCTTTGCTCACAGCACTGGGCTGGCTTTTCGGTGCAGTAAGGTCTTCAGTAATGATTGACTCAGGGTCTCTGCGTGCCAGATGACCTGAACAGGCAGGGCCCTTCCCTACTCCTCGCAGACCTGCTCTGCAGCAGGGCAAGTCCCATGAGGAACATGATAGTGAGTGCGTTCCATTGCATCTTGGAAGGTGACACTCACCATAGGAACAAGGGCATGCAGCTGGGTAAGGGGCTTGCAGTAGGGGATAGACTGAGTGGGGACAGTTTGCAACATTCATGAGAGCGGGCAGGGCAGGCTTCACCGGGAAGGGCACATTCAGCAAACCCTGGAAGCCAGTGACGGAGCAAGCCAAGCAGATGTCTGGGAGAAAAATTCCAGGCAGGGGACCAGCCAGTGCCAATGCCCCAGGCAGGAGCATGAGCCAGGCAGGGATGGCAAAGAGGCCATGGGAGTACAGCCAGTGGCAGAAGCTCAGACCGGGCCAGTCAGGCCACTGTATGGAATTTGACATTGACTCCAGGAATCGTGGAGTGCGTCGCAGGGTGCGTCCTCTCTTATTCCAGTCTGATATTGTTGCCATGGTACAGATGAGGAGACTGGGGCTCAGAAGTGGCCATGATTTGCACAGCGTGGCTTGGGCAATCCAGGATGTAGGTCAGGCTTTCGCCCAGGGCTGCCTGTGACCTAGACCCCAGCTCTGCACCACAGCAGTGCTCCAGTGCTTTGGGTGGTGCCAGGCTGGGGGTGGGGGCGGCGGGCATTTGTTGAGCCCCTGCTGGGCACTAAGTCACCCCACCTTCAGTAACCCTAATGAGGCAGGCCTTGTCAGCGCCATTTTGCAGATGAGGGAAGTGCGGTTCCAGGAGGTGAGGGGCACGGTCAAGGGCACACAACTGGGAGCGGGGCAGGAGGTGACTGTAGTTCTCAACGCCCCTCCGGCCTGCGCCTCCGCGGCTGTCCCTATCCGAGGTTCTCTCATGGATATTTCCCCACTTAAAAGTCTTCCTGAGCGCTCACCTGCCCTCGGGCTGAAGCCTGAACCTCCGAGGCCTGTGTGGGAACCTCCGACACCCAGAGTCGGGCCAGCCTTTCTGCCCCACCTCCACCTCCAGCCGGAGGACACCGCTGCGCATTCCCAGAACCTCTCTCAATCTCCCCAGCCTTTGCGGACAGTCCCACCCACTTCCATACCCTAAGGCCTTTGTGTTTCAAGGGCTTGCCTCCTCTAGGCTGCCACCCCAGACTGCCTTCCCCCTGGTTTCCCCGCACTGCTCCCCAGCTCTGCCTCAGTCTCTTGTCCC